TCTCATTCTCTACCACTTACAAGAGTCACCTATGGAGAGATTTAATATTGAAGATGTCCTTTCAAACTGATGAAATTCCATTTGAAATTCATCAAACTGAGATGGGGTGGGATAAGTCTCAGACATCTGTGCATTGACAAAATTCAGTGGGGCTGAGAAACATTGCAATAAGCAAACTGCTGCTATTAGGAACCAAACAACATTCAATACTTCAGGCAGGCATGTGCTTTACAGGCTAAAGAAAGAATAGGAGAAAAATAGCAAGAAAAGTGCCAAGAAATGGTTCTCAATCATTTGATTAATTTATTACAGGGACTTAAAAATTAGAGAGGTCACAACAGGACCAAAGCTCGACAGACCTTTGGTTTGCTTAGAAGAAGGTGGGATTATCATTATTCCTTTAAGGAGAGACACAGAAAAGGAGGAGGAAGAAGACAAGAAACATGGCTGGCTACTAACTAGAGATTCTTCGTGGCTTGAAAAACACCTTTCAGTTTTATGGATCTAGCTCAAGAACCTAGCCAGGATAAAGTATAACCTGACACAACTCACCCATTGCTAAGGCATGAATCAGTGCTGGTGCACTTGGCCCCCCTGGAACCACCTTGGCTTTCCGAGAGGTTTAGAATGGATTTGGTTTGGGCTTTACATAATCCTGTGATTTCCTGGTTATGCCACCAATATATTAAATGAGAATGGCTGGGAGTAGGATCCAAGCCTCAGTATATTTTAGAGATCTCTAAATGATACCACTGTGCAGCCAAGTTTGGGGACCATCGACGTAAACTTTTTTTAACTTTGATGACCCAAAATGAAGAAACAGATGCATAAAAAAGAGTCCCTCTGTCCTCATTCGTTGAGGTTTCCACTTGCTCAGGCTCATCCTCCTCCTGGAACACTTTTCCTAATCCCTCAGTTTGGGTTAAACCACATTTCTCCACCTCACTCCAACCCCAACTGTGCCCCTACCTGCTGATTTGTCCCTGACTCATGCTTCTCACTGTACAACTTTGACAAAGACATTACCTTGCTCCAAAATTTCTAAGGAACCCCACCCTACCCAGAGCTTTATACCCAAAGTATAGGTATCACCTGGGAGTTTACAGAAAGGTACAATTCCAGGCCCCATACAGGCACACTGAATTAGAATCTGTGACTAAGAAGCTCTCTAGGGGGCTTACATGAACATCCAAGTTTGAGAAGTACTGTCCTGGAGCACCATTTCACAAAGTATCTGTTGAAGGTCACTCTCAAGAACTGAAAATCCACTGCCTACATTTAAACCCACACCCTTCTATCTCTTTACAGGACATCTGTACACTCAAAAAATATGTACTGAGTGGCAACTATATGCCCCATGCTATGCTGGGTTTAGAGGATGCATCAGTGAAGATGGCAGAAGTGGTTCCTGCATTTGTGGACTTAAAATCTAGCAGAGACAACATAAAGATAGGTAAGATGAGTTCATAAAGGGGGTGTGTAGGATGCTGTGGAATGATCTACTTGATGGGGTAGATGGGAGAGGGTGGTCTGGGAGATAAGAGCAGACTTCCAGGGAAAAGGCAGGTCTGTGCAGATGCAAAGGCTGAGGACCCAGGAAGGATGGGCAGTTGCAAAGAGTGCCAGCCTCACACAGCATGTGCAGAGGCCCTGAACAACTAGACAGACACTTGCCCAGTGCCTGCTTTGTGCCAGGAGGAGGTCTAAGGGCTTTTCCTATAGGCAGATGTTATTATTAACCCCATTTTACAAAAGAGGAAACTGAGGCAGAGAGATTAACTAATATATCTGTCACAGGGCAAACCTGGAAATACAACCTCAGCCACCTGGCTCCAGCATCAGCGTCCTTATACCCCAATCTATAGCCTCTTGAACTGGGTAGAACATGATGCATTCAAGGAGCTGAAAAAAGGACCAAGTGCCCGGAGAGGTAAAGCAGGGTTTATTCATAGCTCCATGGCCCTTTTTCCTCAGAATGAGGGAGAAGGGGTCACCATTCAGGGGTTGTAGCCTCTCACAATTGCAAATTTCTAGGACCCATCCATCCCATGATTACTGAATCAGAATTTCTAGTCACGGAGCTGGCAATCTGCATATTAATAAACACTTCCAGGTGATTACAATGCAATAAAATGTGAGAACCATAGGTTTAGAGGTACCGTTCCCTCCAAAATCCTCCCCCTCTCATAGTGCCTCCTAATTAACCCATGGTTATTTAATAACATCTTGCTCCTGAGGTATAAACTAAACATGAGGGTAAATAGGATTGAAAGTGGAAAGCTGGAAGAAATCTGAAAATTGAATCTTTGCTCCTCCAGGTCCCTGGCTGTCAAGCTGTGAAAAGAATTATCTAGGCTTGAAAAGTTGGAGGCAAAAAAGACTACAGAGACTTAGAACTATTTTCATAACAATGCCAATCATTTAAACAACTAATTGAATCTCTGGAAATTGGAGTAAAATTTAAAGTTGTTTGAAGAGCAATTATTTTACATGCCCTGTGATTCCTCTACCTTTAGCCAATGCTGGTAAAAAAAAACTCTCAGGCAGTAAAGAGAATATTCTTGAATGTAGAATACACAGAATAGCAGTGGCTGAAGTAGTCTCTGGTCACCAGGGTGCACCAGCTCAACAAAGCTAATCTGCTTGCCTAAGTATCAGGGGACTTCAATAGCTCCAACCAAGTTCTGGCTGCCAATAGGGTATTCTTTAAAATTCAGTCTTTTATTCTCTTATAACCATTTAACAGAGGAATTATGCTAAACTCGTGAATAAGAAACTAAAAGAAATAGCTGAACCTCAATAAAACTCCATCATCACTGATTATATCATCCTCTTGCATTTTTTCAATATGTATCTTTGAGAGTCTAATTTTTTTTTAACATATACTACCATTAAAATTCTAAAAGTCAGCCTCCTAGATGCTGCCTTTCAAATGGTTCAGAATAGAGACAGTAGACAGTAGCTTTTCTATCTTACTCTGTCTGGAAACGACATTATGCTGGCTATTCAACAAACCCTGTTCATCCAGTTCATTGACTTTGGATCTTCATTCAAGAAAAAAATGTTTCGAAGTTTTTAGAAGAGACTTTTGTTCACATCCCTCAAAAGATCAGATAAATAACTCACTGTATTTTCAAAGCTTTTCTTCTTCAATATATTTATTTCTGACTCAATCCATAAGCAAACCTCTTGGATGCTGCTACATTAATTATGTGACAAAAAAAAAAATCACTAGAAAGATGACATGGCACAGTTACAAAATTTTATGCAGGTGCCCCACCATCGTGATTCAAGACATTGATGATAATCTTCAACAGTTGCCACTACTCTGTTTCCGATCCCTGAGAGGTAGTTTGAATGACTGTCAGATCTGTGTCAATATCGGCCATATTTTCATGTTATTCTGATGAGGTGATGCTATAGAGTGTGTGAGTCAAAGGGAATTTGAGGGATCCCAGATACACAGAGCTGGAATTATTCAAGGAAAGGTGCTAACACTCCCAATCTCTGACAAATTCTTTCTCTGTGAAATTGCATACTTCCCTCTCCCCTCTTCCAGAGGCTGACACAGCAATACAGAGCCATGCCCTGCTGGAGACATGGCCACCAAAAGATGGCGAGATGGCCAGGAAGGAGTGGATAAGACCCACTCAACTCTGGGCACCAGGGTTAATACTCTTTCTATCCTTCCTTTTCTTTTCTTTTTTATCTGATTCTTTTGTACTTTTTTTATTTTTTGTATTTAGTTTTTAATTTTTTTTTTATTTCAGTATATTACAGGGGTACAAATGTTTAGGTTACATATATTGCCTTTGCCCTGCCGGAGTCAGAGCTTCCTTTTATTGGATTGGCTTTTTTCTTTCTTTTTAAATAGTTTTATTGATATATAATCCACATGTCATACAATCCACCTGTTTGTAGTACACAACTCAATGGTTTTATGTGCAACGACCACCACTGGTGATTTTAGGACATTTTCATCACCTCAAAAAGAAACCCAACACCTTTTATGGATCACTGCCTTACCTGTCTCTCCAGCCCCCCAGTCCTGAGCAACCACTAGTCTACTTTCTGTATCTATATATTTGCCTATTCTGGAAGTTTCATGTAAATGAAATCATAAAATATGTGATCCTTTTGTGACTGGCTTCTTTCACTTAGCAAAATGCTTTCAAGTCACTCAAATGTTTATTTATTTATTTAGCATGGCAATGGTAAGATCCAAAGACCCAAGGCTAGCATATGAGACTAGGGAAGAGGGACCAAGCTATTAGCCCCGGGTCTTAGGCCAAAATGGAGTTTGGGGACAGGGTATAATTGTATCTTCACATGGACTAGTTCATCAAGGAATTGCAATCAACTTGGGGAAAAAGATTTATTCTAAGAAAGAGGATCACTTTACCAAAGCACCCCTGTGTGTTCATCTAGGACATAGGTATTAAGTGTCCTAGATCAAAGCCCACCAAATATACCCAGGTGCATAAAGCATCACCATTAAGAAAAAAATATATACATCTTATTTTGCTAATTTCTGTACTCGGTCAACACTTTTTAATGTATCTACTCTTTTTTTCCCATGTTTTTATATATGTGTGTGTGTATATATATCAGTGATGTAAGCATACTATTTAAGCCATATATTCTAATGACTGTGCCTGGAATCGGGCTCTAAGCACACAGGGGCCATATAGAAACTGTGATAGCGATGATGCTTTATAAGGAATCCCACTGGAACGAATGTTCGAAACAGTCAACAGAAGATTGTTACTCCTGCAATATATACCAGTGAAATTATGACACGTAATAATTGAATATGTTCTCCCTTCCAAGTTCTGATTGATCTGGAAATACACGACTTCATTTACAAACTTTTTCCAACCTTGTTTCCGGGGTGACATGCAAATGGAATGCTCACATTCCATAATCTCTCCCTTATTTAGTGGTGGGGAGGTAATCAGATGGTTAGGAAAGAAAGCACTAAGAAAGCAGCATCCACTTACCTGCCTGGCACAACCTTGGGCAGGGCGTCCACTCGCTGAAAGCAGTCACGATACAGTCTCTTTTGCATGGAAGGAAACAGGGGCGCACAGTTTCGGGCCGAGTAGAATCTGGACATCTGTCAATGTAAAGAGACCATGTCAATACCTCTTGGAAAAGGTAAGTGGTTTAACACAGACCTATAAGATTTTAGAACAGGAAATATCAAGGCCCTCTTGTTCCTTTTATAGATGAGGGAAGAAAGACCCAGGGAGGCGAAGCTACTTGCCCAAGTGCTCACAGCCAGAGGAGAGGCTGAAGCAGACTTCAGCCCTCTTGACCCAGAGGCCAAAATACTTTTCAAGAGACCAGAAAAAAAAAATCCCTAAAACTGATGAAAGACAAGTGACAAGAAAGTATCTTACCACCAGCATCAATTCAAATAACATTTTACATTTTTAAAATGAACAAACCGAAGAATTTTTTTTTAAATGTTTTATTCAGGGTAATTTAAAAATTAGTGAGACCCTAGAAAAGGAAGAGGAAAATAAAAAGCAATATATGGATATATTTGAAAACAAAAATTATTGAAGGTCACTTAAAAATACTATGTCTCTTTGATCATTAACAGAACTCTAAAATATCTAAATAATTGGCAAGTATTTCTAAAGAACATTTAGACTGATGAATTAGAATATGCAAGATATGACAGCCTGAAAAATAACAAATACACTAACTAGGATTAACAAGAGAAAGATGTTAATTCTGTTATTTTCTGATAATTAATTTAATGTCCATACTTGGGAGGAAAGTAATATAAATAGTCAATGGATTCACAAGCACTTGGAAGAACTAAAGTCTCACAAAATAGCGAGCAAGTTTTTGTGTGTTTGTTTGAATGCTTGTTTTCATGAGTACATAGGGCTAAAAACCACATTTATTATCTTCTACAACAGTGATACACTAAGAAGAAAAACTAGAAAGCACTTTGCAGCATATATTTGGTTTTTAAATTGTTCCCTGTAAGTTTCTTATAAAGAACAGAGACGCAGTGTATAAAGCTTGAGGCACGAGCTCTGCACCAGATAGCCAGTGCTAAGCTAAGAGCTTTGCCTACATTCTTTCAGTTAGTCCTATAGCAGATCATCTTCATTCTCAGATGATACACTGAGTACGGAAATGATAAGTAATGGACATGAAGCCATGTGGAGACAAAGCACTTGAAAAAAATTACGATAGAAAAGACACCAGCCTGCAAGTTTAAATAGGTAATAACAGACTTCCAGTAGGACAAAACAGAGAAAATGAAGGAGAAAAAAATAACAAGGAAATAATGGACTAATATCACAGAGTTGACAAAGAGAGGACACTTCAGAGTGAAAAAATCCATCAAGTGTATACAAACTGACCAATGTGCAAATACAGGGATTGTCTACATTTGAAACCCAAAGAAAGAGGGAGAGAAGAAACCAATAATAGTTGGGGCAAAAGGGAAGAAAAATAGGTCATCTAAGAAGAGAGAAGAGTCTGACTGACATTAGACCTTTCTATAATTTATAATAAGATATGTCATTATAAAATTGAAAGCATTTTCGTAATTTTAACAGTAGAAACAAGGCATAGGCAAAAGGTGGAAGACTGAATTTTGCTTTGGAACAAAATGCTCCAAAATTATCACTCTTGCCACAGTAAGGTAAAGATGCAGTGGGTACAGGATGAAAGATGGAAGGGGAAGGAGAGAGGGTGGAGACTTGGCTGTCGTCATCCACCAAACCAGGTGTTTAGAGAGTTGATCTAAACAAAAATGAAATAAGAAACAATGTCATTATGAACAGAATTTTTGTTTCCCCCCAAAATTCATAAGTTGGCACCTAACCCCCAATGTAACAACCTTTTGGAGGTAACTAGATCCTGAGGTGGAGTGTTCATGAATGCCACTAGTGTCCTTATGAGAAGAGACATGAGGGAGCTGGCTTCCTCTCTCTGCTCTCCTCTGTGTGAAGACACAGCAAGAAGACATCATCTGCAAACAAGGAAGAGGCCTTCACTAGAACCCAACCATGCAGTCACCCTGATCTGGGACTTCTAGCATTCAGCACAGTGAGAAACAAATGTTATTTAAGCCCCCCAGTCTATGGTATTCTTGTTATAGCAACTGGAACTAAGACAAAGGTTCTAAGAATAATAGTCACAACTATTAATGGTAAAGGTTTGAGGTGATGGATATCCTAATTACCCTGAGTTGATTATTACATGTTGTATGCCTGTATCAGAATATCACGTGTGCCCTATAAATACATACTACTATTATGTGTCCATAATTAAAATTTAAAAATTAAAAAATAAAATGGTATAGTAGTTGTATGTAAAAAATTAAAAATGATTAATATTAATGTGGCCGGGCACAGTGGCTCATGCCTGTAATCCCAGGCTCTTTGAGAGGCCAAGGTGGGAGGATCGTTTGAGGCCAGGAGTTCAAGAAGACCAGCCTGGGCAACACAGGGAGACCTCGTCTCTACAAAAAAAAAGAAAAAAAAAAAATAGATGGGTGTGATGCTGTTTGCCTGTAGTCCTAGTCACACTCAGGAGGCTAAGCCAGGAAGTGTTAGTGTAAATGAGCTAAGCTTTATTACTTTCATGGGAGCAAGTCAAGAAATGACTATTTTAAATTGATAAATGCAGAGATATATGAATGATGTGTGAAAAATATACCATTTAGAGTTAGAAGGTAAACACCAGAAAGGGAGAAAGGATAAGAATTTATACTTGTGTTCTTTTGCATCGACATAAAGATCCAGTAGAGGTAGATAACAACCCAATAAAGTGTCGCACAGATGGGAGGGGGGAGGGGGATGGGTATATACACACCTAATGGGTGTGGTGCGCACTGTCTGGGGGATGGACACGCTCGAAGCTCTGACTCGGGCAGGGCAAAGGCAATATATGTAACCTAAACATTTGCACCCCCGTAATATGCTGAAATAAAAAAAAGGAAACCAATAAAGTGGTTGACAGTGATGATGCAGGAGGAAGGGAGGGGTGAATGAGAGTCTAAAACTCTCACTGTTCACCTATTTATTATTACAGTAAACCATGTGAAAGCTCATCCAGTCGAGAGAGAGACAGAGACAGAGAGAGAACACAGCAACTGTTAAAAAGTAGTTGAGTTTGGGAAGTGGAGCAGGGGATGATTGGGAACCAACTGCTTTCCATCATCAGTCCCTGTGCATTATTTTACTTCTGCTATAGAACATGTAATGTTTTGATAAAATATTAATTAAAATGAAAGATGTCTATACTCACAGAAAAAATACTCAATAATTAATTCTTATTAATGGCATTATTATTAACCATCCTTAATACACACACACACACACACGCACAAACCATCTATCAAACAGATCAATTGCATGACTATAACAATAGAAAGAAAGAAGAGTGTCTTTATGAGGATATAGTGTTATTTAAACAAGCTACTCTGGTCAGGAAAATTTATATCATACTTTAGTCAAGATAACAAAAGAAAAAAGAAACACTAAAATCATCCCCAAGTCCTTTATTCATACTCTGAGGTCTACTAAAAATAAATTGAACTGTCATTTATTCTAACTTCTCTCCAGCCTCTGCTGCTATGTGTCTGGAAAGGAAAGCACAACCTGAGTGATGGCGACTTCCATGTGCTCAGTGGGTCATGGGCCCCCCATGGACCCTCCCCAACACTCGCTCATGCAATCATAAAACAGACCAGGGATATCTGTGGTGCTAGAATTCAGCCTTTCTACAGAGGATTGCTCATATGGCAGGAACTTTATCCACTTCAATTAGGAGTAGGTGTTAACCTCCTTAAAGGAACTGATCGTGCCTCCTTTATTGACCCTTTATTAGTATCAGTCACAATAAACACTCACTGGGAATAATGCCAGCTCCCACGGAATGGCCCCTTTCTCTCTCCTGCTCTTCCCTTAAGTCCACCAGAGAGAAACTGTATCATTCCTCAATGACAAAGGTCAAGCTTAGGTTACAGTGCTTTTACAGAAGCAATGAACTGAGGGCTTTCCTGGAAATGCGAGTGATTTCTGGTCTGATAAAGGCCACATATTCTCTCGCCAGTGAAATTGTCTTTTTGTCATTTCTTCTGCCAACAAAGTTTACCTTGTCCTCAGGGGTTCGACTTCCTCTTCCTATTTATCCACATGTATTTACCTCTTCATGCATCATCTCATTTCCAATTTGCATAAATGTCCTCTTACTCTCAAAGATACCATCTTTGAATATTAGCAACTTAAGTGCTCCCCTACTTGTAAAAACTATAAGGTTTGTTTTCTGCATCATTGTATTGTCACTGACAACAAAAGGCTTTGACATTTTTTGTGCTGCTGTTTTGTTGTCTGTGTGTGCACACAAATGCCTGTGCTGTACACACACTTATTTTGAATGCTTTGATGGAATTTCATTTTACATTGTGTCTTAAAAACACCAGATCTTAGCTCGGTGTAAATATTTAGTAACAGTAAGTGGGTGATTGAACAGTATTCCAGGTTATCGAAGCCTGAAGACAAACCCTGGGGGATATTAGGCTTATTTCTCCAGCCATTTCCACAACAAAATTGAAGCCTTGAAACCCAGAGAAGCACAGAGATTCACATTTTAGTTAGCAAGCACATATGGCCCTTTGCCTTTTGTCATAATTTAACTTACTGCTTTTCACATAACACTGTGATCCTGGATTGGCAATGCTGTCCATAAAAGGGGAATGCATTCCACTTCAGTACATGTATTTTCCCAGACTTGCAGTGGAATGTTCTATAACTCTTTTCTCTTGGCCACACAGTAGGCTTCAGCCGTTTACAAGCACTGTGCTGAAATGCATCAAATTGAGCTACAAAGACCTGCCATTTTTCAGTTATGTCTCCATAATCAAGATTCAGACACGCAATGCTCCATCTCCTTGATCAGTCTTCTGACCCAGGAACAGGAATATTCATCTCACTCAGATAGATGGGGCAGACCTGCCAACTTTTTAAACATTAAATGTTTAAATGGAGCTATTTATTACTATATCTCACAAAATGCCAAGTATTTTCACATTAAAGGTAGAAAGTGCCTTATCAGAAACTTTGAAAGGCTTTGAGTTGTGTG